TTTTTTTTTTTTTTTTTTTTTTTTTTTTTTTTTTTTTTTTTTTTTTTTAATTTACTTCTCTTTTTTCATTTCCCTACATATTGTTTTTTAGTTTTTTAAAGGATAAAAAAAAAAAAAAAAAAAAAAAATCGGATCCACCTTGGTCACTATTGTAATATTTTTAATTTTTTCATAGCCATTATTTTCATGTTTGCGTTCATGCCTTTTTTATAAATTCAATTGTAACATATGAGGTAAAGACCCAATTTCAAATAAATTATAAGTGTGATGTATTTTTATTTTCATGCTAATAAAAAAAAACATAGAATATGCCCAATATACCACGGTCACGCATTACTTATCGGTTTATCGGTTATTTGGTGTATATAAAGATAATTAAATTGATTACATAAAATGGTGCACATCATTTTCCATCCATCCTAGTTGATTTAGTACAAGTCTAAGCAAGCGTAAAACCCCCTCGAGTACTTCTCCGCCCCGTCAATTTAAAAATCAAATTGTCGATTACGGGGACGGCGCTAATTAATTTCAGGGCATAAAAGTGTAAGTGCTATTTTGCTGAGTAAAAAGGCTGAAGGAATTTCATGATGACGATTTTGAGACATAATCGTAGCCCAATATTGAAATACTGCAGTGTGCAGTATAATAATAGACTGTTTCACTCTTAAAATTATATTATGCACGTTTTATTATTCAAAATTTTATGAAGAAAAAAAATTTGGTAAAACATTGACTTGAAAATAAATTAATATAAAATCACAGTTTATTTTAAAATATTGTAACACGAAACGCATTGATTCAGGAAATCTATTAATAGTTTCGGTGATTTAAAAAATTTTTTTTTGTATTTTATTTCACGATATGCTGAAAACAAGTTGGTTATGTGCGGTAATAGATAAGCTATTTATGATCTGATTATTATGATGAGTTAATAATATTAACTTTCCCGCCGATTCTTTTCACTGATTCGCCGTTGCCTCGATACAAATAGACGCTAATTTAGTTAGGTTTAAAGATTTAGTTTCCCTAAAAAAAATTTTTTTTTATTAGAATAGTATTTATAAAAAAAAAAAAACAATTAATTTATAACCAGATTAATTAATAGCAATGGGTTTAATAATTTAAATAATATGCGCCATGTTGTAATTTGTTCACAACGAGAATTCATTTTATTGTAAAACTATTATGAGATATTTCACAAAGATACATGATTTCTTTAAACCATTCACTTGAGAACAACTTTGATCAATCTAGTTACAGGATCACCTTGTTATTTCTGCGAATAATGTACACAGTATGATCGATTGAAATTGAAAATGCAATACGTAAATCTATTCCTCGGCAAAAAACTCATGCGGTGTTTATTGTAATAATGCATTTAATCGATGTCAATCTTTGTTAGGAGCTCATTTTCGAGCGAAATTTTTGCTCGTCCTCTCGATTATGAGTATTTAATACAAACTTTGAAATGCAAAGAAAAAAAAATTTTTTTTTTTTTTGAAGCTACTCTTATTGTTACATACACATAAAGTACACACTATATGATTTGTGAAAGGGGTGAAATTTGCAAAATGATTAAGTGACCATCACGGCGTCTGTAAGATGCGAATTGTGTTTGTATTCCCAAGTCCTGCATATGGAAAAAATTAAGAATCCGGAATAACCTCTATCGAAATAAAATGTAAAATCTATTACACCTACCGCCTTTCCAGCCTTGAATGGCGATTACCGGATCACCGCTTTTGAGCATGCTGAATGAGAACGAAAAATTTGGAATTAAAAATAGTCTCATAAAACGAAACCACGAACTTTATGAAATAAATGGTAATCACTTGTGCTCGACGGCACGCTTTATTCCCCATCTAATTCTTTCCTCCACATCGTATTGCCATTGGTCATCATCTTCATTAGAGGTCTTTGAGAGTTCATAAACAAAGGGGTAACATCCTCGGTAGAGATGAATTTGTCTTGCGGTTTGAGCAAACCTCGTAACGGTTATAATAGGACAACGCGGCCTGTATTTGGAGATCAAACGGGCGGTGTTGCCTGAAGTTGACAACACAAGGATGCATGCTGCGTGAATCTCGTGTGCGGCCGATACAGCGGAACAGGCCACGGATTCCGTGGTTTCCATTGGTAAAGGAGTGAGCGCACGAAGTTCATTGAAGAGGGGAGGATAACAAATGACAGATTCGGCCATTATACAAGTTTCGTGCATCATTTTAACTAGTTAAAGGATTTTTGATCTTTAAAAATAAATTGAGTTTGAATTTTAAAGACAACGTCAAATACTGACCAGATTCAATGGGATATGATCCTTTAGCGGTTTCACCGGACAACATAACGCAATCCGCGCCATCCAACACCGCATTTGCAACATCACTGACCTCTGCACGAGTCGGCCTAGGATTGTACTGTCGTTTTTATTTTTAGATTAGATTAGTATTAATAAAGAGGATGATTAGATGAATCACCATTGATAGGAATGCCATCACTCACTGTCATAGACTCCAGCATTTGCGTGGCGCTATAATAGCGCGAAAGTCATTATTAGCAAGCCTCGGTTCGAGTAATAACCATCATCTTGGAAAAAAAAAAAAAAAAACTCACCACACTACAGGTTTCCCAGCAAGATTGCACTTTGCAATAATCTTTTTTTGCGCAACAAATACATGAGATGGTGGGATTTCGATGCCGAGATCGCCACGTGCAACCATGACTCCGTCAGTTTCCTTCAGAATATCGTCAAAATTATTGACACCTTGTTGATTTTCGATTTTGGCAATAATTTTAATATTCTCTCCTTTTTTGCCCAAAATACTTCGGATGTCTCGGATATCTTGACCAGTGCGAATGAAAGAAGCAAATATCATGTCAACATCATTTTCCACTCCAAATAACAAATCTTGTTTGTCCTTCTCAGAGACTGCAGGTAAATCCACGTCAGTCTGTGGTAGATTGACCCCCTTTTTGCTGCAAAGTTTTCCGTTATTCAATGCGCGAACTTTGAGGTGGTCATCATGCACTTCCAACACCTCAAATGACAGAATACCATCATCAACAAATATATTCTTGCCGACTTCAATTACTTTTGTGAGGTTCTTGTAATCGATATACATCACTTCCAGATCACAAATGTCCGCATATTTTTCATCTGTGCTAAAGGTCATCTCGTGTCCAGCTGTGATGGGGAGCTTTGAGCATGACAAAATTATCGATTGGTTTGGTTTAATTTAAAAATTTGGAACATCGGTTAAAATTCAAAATTCAAGATACCTCGACATTATCACGCATTTGACCTGTCCGGATCTCGGGTCCTTTCTATGAAAAACAATTAACAATTAAAACCAACGTCCGTTTGCTGAACACTCTCGACCGGGAGCTTACCGTATCCAAAGCAATCGCGACCGGTCGACCGGGGTACACTGCGAATATGATTCTTAGAATACCGACGCATTTCAAGAACACACATTAATTTAGGAACTTGCGATAACAACTTACATCTTGCATTTTCACGCGTGTTATCGATAACGGACTTATGGTACTGCATGGGAGTAAAACTTTTAATTAATAAAATGGTTTTTGATTATTTAACGGAATGGTAGTGCCACTGTCATTACGTCGTAGGAGCCATGCGAAAAGTTCATGCGAACAATATTCATGCCCGCCTCGCGCAACTTTGTTATCATTTCAACATTATTGGTCTTTGGACCTTTCATAAATTGAAACCGGCTATTTAGTTGAAGGGTATATGTATATATATTCACGGGATTTGAAATTAACGAGCGACCTACCGATAGTGCAGATAATAGAAGTTTTGCGGAAGTTCGTAACCGGAATGTTCTCGTCTAAAGAAGAGATCCATTCAAAATTGGATTTGATATTATTATTTACGTAAGACATTGATAATTGAATTAAAGGATCCAGAATATGGTGCCGCAAATTCACTGTTTAAATTTAAATGTCAATCGAGTCTGAAAAAACACGCAGAATTTCTCAGCAATTGAAAGGTACTTGTGAATTTCATGTTACACGATCTCGTGCGACGAGGCGATATATCTTTGGTTGGTACGTGTGCGAAGATAGAGAATTTTCAGCTTGATAACATCAGTGACATGTATGTTACGTACGCAAAGTATATGCTAAATAAGCGCATCAGATAAGCCC